TCTATATATATATATATATATATATATATATATATATATATATATATACACGATAAACTGTACTTTATAATTTATTTATTTTTTTCTAGCAAATATTGCTGTAATGTTACTGGATAAGATAAATAAATCAAACAATGCTAGACCTTTCTCAGAACTGGACATTTAAATGAATCATTTAAATTTGAGTTTCAAGTAAGTTTCAAGCAAATAAATTACATAAAATAAAAACTTTAGATGGATGGATGGATGGATACATACATTTTTTATTACTCTACAAAAACACTTATAAATGCATTCGATAAATTAGTAAATTGTTTAAACAAATGACCCTTTCCTTTCTCAGAACTGTAAATTTAAATGCACAATTTAAAATCAGAAGCAACCAAAAGCCTACCCTTGTTTTCAATATCATACAGTCTCTGTTGCCAGAAGCTTCTGAATGGAGCAATTCCAGTGCCTGGACCAATCAGAATACACGGAACCTGGCTGTCTTTTGGCATACGGAACGATGGAGCCCTGAAACAGATAATATATCCTTTGATTTCATCAAATCCACAAGAAAACATCCATCAGTGGACATATTTGAGAAGTATATAAATGCTTTACCCTCTGACAAAGCATGGCACCGCATCGCCTTCCAAGCTATTGAGCCAAGAGGAACACACTCCGTGGTGCACAGGACCTTCTCCATCTAGCCGGAAAAAAACACATAATCCTTTAACCTGACACCCTCTGACACCAATCTAACGCCTAGCAATTTAGGACTGCGCAGGGCTGACATCACTTGCTTCAAATGGAATGAAATTGCTATATTTTAGCCGCCAATTACACCATTATGCACATAATTACATTTTTACAATGCATTTAAAATGTGTAAGAGAGATTAGATCACAGTTTCTCTTTCGTGCATGTTAACTAGAAAGGCTTAACAGCAAATGAGCAGATCTAGAATTAATTTGATCATTTAATTTTCATGTAGTCCCTATCTTTAAAATAAATGAGCAGCTATTAGATGAACAGTCAGAATCAGACTACTACCACGGACAACCAGCCCAGTTTCTCTTCCGACAATACAGATTAGGCACTTCAGTCAAATTGCTAATTAAGTTCATAGCCTCTTATTAAGCACCCAATTATTCACACCATACCACTGTTGGGGAAATTTGAGTTTTCAGGCCGTATGTCATTGTAACTGTTGAAAGTGAGAGGCTGTTTAGCGTGACTCTCACAGTTTGAGACGAGTGACAGAGAAGCACTTGAAACGTTTTTAACACTTTGAAGCGGATTGCATTGGTTAAACATAGCATCAGGTCTTGTTTACACCTGCTTTGAACATCTGGTGTTGAAGTGATAGGCAGAGACGCATTACCGTTAACACCTGGTACAAACAGCATCTCAAACATATCTCCGGTGACCATTACCAGTGACTAGATTTTGTCAAAGAGAAGGTTTCTGAAATAAAGACTTCTTACATCACTTACTACATCAGTCAATCTCTGCATATTGATCAAGCAAAATAAAGCAAAATGAAGCAAAAATACTATTGTCTCTTAAGCCCAAAACACACTGCACGATTTTAGCAATCCTTTAAAGGG